CGTCATCACCCGGGCGCTAATGTGCCGGAGTGTTGGTGAATGATTAGGATGCTGTCGCGCTTTACTTTTGCATCCTTCATTGGAACGGAACGACATCATTTGATGTCAAAAAGTTTCACAGAGAAAAGGAATTATTTACACTGGTCAATGGCAAATTTGAATCAGCGATGGTTTCATGTGTCTCTAAAAGTATTTTTGAGGCTGATTTCAATAATGTCTGTACTACATCAGGTTTTTGAGAGATTTTCATTTTTGTTGCTTTTACTTCCTGTATCAAAACATGCGCAATAAAGACTTTACTTTATAGCTGTGACACTACTGGAAAAAAAAAATCCACTTGTTGCCGAACCCTTAATTCATAAATATTACAAAATATATTACTGTATCACCTATTATATTATGACTATTGTTCTCCTTCTTTTTATTATCATTATTATTATTATTACGATCATGACAACCTGATGAGCAAAGGAAAAAATGAGGGCAGATTCTAAATCAATGCAAACAATTCATTTAGAAAGTATTGATATTACCAGTGTAACAATTTTACATTTGACAAATTTTGCAAACTCTTTGCACACTATTTAGTAGTAGTAGTAGTATTTAATAGCGTGTGTGCATGTGCGTGTGTGTGTGTGTGTGTGTGTGTGTGTGTGTGTGTGTGTGTTAATTAATTACAGGCATGTTATTTATATATAGATATAGATATAGATATATATATATATCAGAATCTGCTTGTAACTGTCAAAACGGAATGCTGTCGAGTGTTTTTCTTTCTAGGAAAGATCAAAACAGAGTTGGCCAAAACTTTGGTCACTGATGGCAAATGACCTGGACGGGGCTCGTCATTAAGACTCCCGTAGTTGAAAAGAATGAAAGAATTCATGTATCAATGAAGATTTCCTTACAATCACATTTTCTCGGTCAAGCAGTTCCTCATATTTCCTTGTGAAGACCTTCGGTGGTGAGCTTACATTTTCTATAGAAGACAGTTCCTTTTACCAGGACATTCTTCTTTTGAGGAGATTTCCTTTGTTGGAACAGATCCTTGAGAACACGTTCAATTGTGAGCCATTTTTTCCGTTGAGGCAAGTTGTTGAGACGATCAATTGTTCGGGGCGTTTCACTTTGAGTCCTTGAGGCAGCTGTCGATTGCTAGCAAATTTTCCGTTAATAATATATCCTTGTAGCACAATGTCTTTGTTGAGCTGTTCAATTGCTACGACCATTTTTTTTTCCATTGACAGCATTCATTTTTGAGGACATATCCTTGGGAAAACATTTCCTTATTGGAAGAATCATCTGTGTTGAGATTACGTCTTAATGGGAATATTTTGAGAGGGGATCGAGCCTTTTCTGTTGCTGGTCCCTCTCTCTGGAATGACCTCCCACTGAGCATTCAGCAAGCCTCCTCGCTGCTAACCACTGGACCACCGGGCCGCCATTCATTCATATACTATATAAAAAAAAAAAAAAAACAGGCAAAAGTCTTTGTGCATACGTGTACAGTGAAACAACAAGGTTAATGAACTTGGATTACTTCAAATAAAACGTCCAGTGTATGAATATGCTGCCCCGTTTTTCACGACGATGACTGATTCGGATGAGGACATCAAAGGCACTTCAGAGCATCGCGCTGCCTTTATCGTAGATGTCAGCTCAACCGTTTGGTCGATCGGGTTTTTTTTTTAAAGGAGCCATTAAACATTTATAACACGTTTTGATACTGTGGACCTCAAATAAAAGGTGTGCTCTTTGACCCGACACAGATGAGATGAAGATTCAAATTGGCACCGTGCTAATATGACAGATGACCATATTTACATATTTCGTACATCACGTTTGCCGCTGGGAAGAAAATCTGCCATTCGTTACGCTTTTTCTTTGACTTCCAACTGTTGATGACGCCGCCGCCGCCGCTGCGTAATACCGCAATGGCGGTGGAAAACAATGACACCCGACGTGGTGAAACGCTACCTGAGACGCCCCAAACTTAGCCACCTCCAAATTTGACTTGCCAAAAAAAAAAAAAAAAAAAAAAAAAAAACACAACCCAAAAAACCAAAAAAAACGCTGAATGCTAATCATTGAGTGACTCAAGCTAGCCAGCTTGCATTGGAGCTCAACGTCCAACACCGACTGAATGTGTCACCCTTGGCATTTCAAGACGAAGAACGAGACCAACTTTGTCACGAGACGCGGTCCCCCGCGAGACGCGGGATGTCGGATGCTGCGCCTCAGAGTGCATCAAGCAGACGTTTGCTGACGCGCCGCCACGACGTGTGACAGCCTCTCCGCCCTAGCGTTCCCGGTTTCACGCCGTGCTACATACATGGGAGGCGCACACGTCGGAGCTCGCGTTTGCCCTGACATAGAGCGCAATCATTAGTTCCCTCTGAGGGTTTATAGTTTAGCGTGAGGAAACGGGGCAATGATGGGGGGGGGGGGGTCTTTTTAAAATCTGCAGCGTGATTGTTCGAGTGATTGCAGTAAAAACTCATCTTCGACTGGGACTGACACAATTTTGGTTCGGCCTCCTCCTCCTCCTGCGCTGACAGGATAAGCAGTAGCATGCGGTGTTGATTGGGAAGAGCGCGCCCGCGTGTGGGTGGTAGGAAATAGATGGAAAACAGAGTTTTAGTTGGTCTTCCATGAACCCAGCGTGTGTCTTTTTTGTTTTTTTCGAGCATCAAAGACAGCTCACACACAAAAAAAAAGTCGTGTAGCTTTTATTTGTGTGTGAAAATAATTTTCTTTCAATCAATCCAATGTGGCGCTTGTAAACATCAAATATTCAAAGTCAGCAGTTTTCATGAAGACAACTTGGTTTTCAAAGAATTTCATGTATTTCTATTTGTAAGCATCAAAGACAAGCTCGTCATTGAAGAACCGTGCCAACGTTTGCATTTCGACATTTTCAACGAACAGACCCCAAACTCTTGATTTCAATAAAGACGGGACGTAATGTTAACCATAAAAGCAGACGACGATGATTTGCAAATCACGGTAGTCTGTTTTTATTTACATTGTATCCAGGGTGAAACCATCAGTGCGACCCAATATGCAAATCCAGCGGTTTCAATCGCTTTTCTTTCACCTGTTGCTCCCGCTATTTGCCATCAGCCCGAGTCTTGAAAGAACACACGCCGTACCTGGATTTGTGTGCATCAAAGACAACTTAGTCTTCAATTAACCCAAAGCCAATTTAACAGACTAAATGTCCACCTGGAATACAAATTCAAGTGAATTTAGTCTTGACTGAAACTAATTTTTTGTCAGCAATTACCGTCAATGAAACCTTGAAGGATTAATTGGGAGAGTGCGCATGTGTGGGTGTGGAAATAGTTTCTGAAAGATAATTTAGTCTTTATAAAGTCAAACATGAATTAGCATCAGACACAACTTAGTCTATTAAAAAACCAAAAAAACCCAAAACAACTAGTAGATTAGTCTTGAATAAAGTGACACTCACAATTTAGGAGCCTTAAGGTAACCTTACGTGCACATTTTCTAAATAATTGGTCATCAAAGACGATAGCCAACCTGTTCTTGTACACCAAAACATTTTAGAGGCTTCAATTAACGCAGTGTACTCGTTTTTGTGCCAAAGGTTTAAAAACAGCATGTGCTAAAATTGTCAATTGACACTCACCGTGTGGGAACATGCCAGCTGTTTGGCCACCACCAACTAAGAAAAAAAAAAAAAAATCCATTCTTTTGTTGTATTTTTTAAAAAAATGACAGCTTGTCATTAATTTGTGTCCGTTTAAAGACTTTCTCAGCACGCGGGATGTGGCGAGGCGTTTTTTTCCGCTAATGAGCCGCATCGTTCATGTGGAATGATGATGCAATTAGGCAAGCAAAAAGTGCAAGGTGTGACAATTGTCAACGTTGCTTTGTCAGTGTCTGCAAAAAAAAAGTCACCTCTGAGGCAAAGCAAATTTCTTTGAGCTGGCATGAGAGGTCACCTGTTTATTTATTTATTATTTTTCATTGAAGGGTTGAGCTGTCCTGCAAGCATGACCGACTCCCCGCGGAAGGGCTGACGTTGTAAACGCCGCGGCAAAAAAATTCAATTAAAGCTGCTGAATGTTGATGATCTTCAGGCGTGCTTGCGGGTTTGTGTTCTTTGCCGGCCAGAGGTCGTGGGTTCAATCCCAGCTCTGGCCTTCCTGTGTGGAGTTTGCATGTTCTCCCCGGGCTTGCGTGGGTTTTCTCCGGGTACTCCGGTTTCCTCCCACATTCCAAAAACAATCATGGCAGGTTGATTGGGCACTCTAAAATGTTGCCAGGCATGAATCTGAGCGCGGATGGTTGTTCGTCTCCGTGTGCCCTGCGATTGTCTGGCAACCGGTTCAGGGTGTCCCCCGCCTACTGCCAGAAGACAGCTGGGTTGGGCTCCAGCATGCCCCGCGACCCTTGTGAGGATAAAGCAGATCGTAAAAAATGATAAACCTAACATTCGCTTTTTTTTTTGGTCGTTGTCAAATACGATTTAGTCCTCAAATAACCCAATCTTAGCATGTATTCAAGCACCGAGGACAGTTAAATCTTCAGTGAACCTAATGTACGTGTTTTGTCAGCATCAATGTCAATTTAATTTTGTTGAACATAACATTGGGATTTGTGTAAACATCAAAGACACTCCGAGAGCCCATTTCGTTTCGGGTTTGAGTCTTATTAACATTGCAGGAAGACCCTTCAACGAAGCTCATGTTAGTGTTTGAAGACCGTTTCGTGTAATTTCTTTCTATGGTGGAAAAAAAAAACTGTGAGAGTCACGGAGGCAGAAATGCAAACGTGGCTCTCTCGAATAACAATTGTCGGACTGGAAAAAGTCTTCCCCGGGTTCTCTCGCTCTCTCTCCTGCTCTCTTTGAACGTGACTTACCTTTTGCGATCAAAAGTACGGAAACAAGAGCAAAGTCGCGGTCAAATCAACTTTCGATGCTTCCATTGAACTTCCTCATCTTTCAACACCCATTTTTCTCTCTCTGACAGCTCCACACGGACTTGGACGTCAGCGGCAAGCGCATCAAGTACGTGCTGGCCGGCGAGGGGGCCGGCACCATCTTCGCCATCAACGAGCTGACGGGCGACATCCACGCCATGAAGAGGCTGGACCGCGAGGAAAAGGCCGAGTACACGCTCACGGCCCAGGTCATTAACGCGGACACCGATGAGCCGCTGGAGCCGCCGTCCGAGTTCATCATCAAAGTGCAAGACATCAACGACAATCCGCCGCAGTTCATCGAGGGTCCTTATCGGGCGGCCGTGGCCGAGATGTCGGCGGTCGGTGAGTCACGAAACGCAGCCTAATGTGCGGCCGCGGCATCAAAATAATGAGCGCGAGGGGACGGGACCGGCACGTGATTATTTTGTTAAGACAACTGGGGCGAGTAATTATTAAACGAGGACAAAATAAATTAATATAACGAGGCTTCGGGTGCCATCCCCAACATGTTTGGGAGGCTTGAATTATTTGCAGTTCACTATTCATGAATTCACCTCTTTGCATTTTTTTTTTGTGTAACATATCTTATTCGCCTTTGAAAAACTCACCTAATCGCATATGCTGCGCTCAGTCTATGAGGCGCTACAATGGTGCCAAAGACATGAGGAATTTGATTCCAGGAAGGAGACTGAGGTGGTACAACTCGACTGAAAACGAGCATTTATGTCGAGGATTAGTGTGGGTTGTTAGTGGAGAGTCTTGGCCACTTGTTCACACACTCTTGTAATCCTCTGTAGACAGTTTCTTGTTACCGGCAATGTCAATTTAAAATGATATACTGCTTTGGGATCACAGTTTCTGGTACATTTTACGAGGCATCGATTCATTATGATAATGAATACGCTACAGTCATACGATAAACCTTTTTCAGTCGGGCTTTGCTGTATGTTAAAATTAGTTTTTTTAAGTCCCAGGAATACAGTTTTGACAGCAGCCAAGTGGTTAGCACATTTGCCTCACATTCTGGGTTGTAATCTAAGCACGGGCCTTCATTCTCGCTCGTGTTTGCATTTTCTGTGTATCATAGTGCTGCAGTATCATTGTGCTGCAGTATCATAGTAAAGAAAGTTATTAGTCATGTCCACACATTTTTAAGGTATCAGCAATTACAAGTGCAGAAGCTTGGCAAGCAAAAAAAAAAAAAAAAAAAAACATTTAAAAAGTGCCAAAATGAGACCCTTTTTATTGCATTGTCATGTGTTCATTGAGTCATGTAATATATATGCTGGCGAGCGCACTAATTAGATATTTATGGGAGGATGAGAAAGAAAAAAAATGCAGGATGTAATGTTTTATGGATGATGAAACTGTGTGGGTTTCTTTCGCGGAAGCGTTGCGATTTGGCCCATGCAAGAGGAGGCGGGGCCAAAGACAGGAGGTCATTAGTAAGGCTAAACAGAGATAGACTCCATATATTTAGCATTCAGAATCAGAATCAGAATCAGCTTTATTGGCCAAGTACGTAGATCACACAAAGAATTTGTCTCCGGTAGTATCGGCTATACTCGTATCGGAAGAGAAGTATCGAATGACTAACCGTTTTGTAAGAGTACCATGGTGTATTGTTTGATGTTGTCATTTTCTATTCATTTTTGAACATTTATTATTAATAATAATAATAATCATAATAATAATAATAATAAACACAGTGAAGTGTGTATTTCCAAACATTATGTTGTTGCTGTTTTTCTGCTTTTGTAACATTAGTATTAGTTATTGGTATTATTTACTGCTATGCTACTACCACATGTTTTGGACAAAGGCTGTGTTTGGAAAATTAATAGCCATTAACATTCTGGTTCTTAGAGCGTCAGAGTGAAATTCCGAACGCACCCCGTGTTAACAGCAACAAACAAACATGTTCCGGTTTGTTTGCAACCTCCGCTTCTAACTATGGGGGGAAACAATCTTTATAGTTTAAAATGACTTACCTGAACTCGAATCCTGCGCCACAGTGCGGCCAAAGGTGGAATCCTGGTAAGTTATTGCGCCTTTTGGTTGAATGGGAAATCCTTGCTGTGCCGGATGCCGCACGTCAGCGGCGGCAGCAATTACGTCACGCGTTAGTTGCCGTCACGAGAGTTCATCTTCATCTTCTAATTCCTCTTCTCTTCTTTCCATTCCTTCTCCCACTTTATTTTGGGATGTATTGTGAGTGGATTAGCGCCCCCTTCTTTTTCACGCTACAAAGAAGTGGCAATGCCGAGAATGTTTAGGTATGAGCGGCACATCTCCCCCCCTTGAACCGGGTCATTTGCGTTAGGAGCAATGACGGATGCTAATTGCCACAAGCTAACGTTCTCGGAGGGCCGCAAGCCGGGCACGCAATCCTCGTCTCACTCAATGCTAATATATTCATAGATTCATGTTCTCACTCGCGGTCATGCATTCAAAGACGCCCAATGCCGTGATCACACAATTCCAATGCAAGTATGAGACTAGCAAAGGCCCCCGCCAGTGTCTCAGTCTGCTGCCGCACGGACCCCCGGGCGGCAGGGGGTCTCCTTCAGAAGGAGATCAGAGCGTCGTTATACAGCTTTGACACCGGACGAGTCGAGCGAGGACACCAAGTGTCGCATTTCCTCCTTTGAGTCTCCTTGTGTTATGCTGCCTTCCCGAAAACGCTGAACGGCGGAATTTCCTGAACTCCGCAAATGAAAAAAAAAAAAAAAAGTCTTCCTTCAGAAAGAAGAGGCGGACGTACTACTTGATGTCTTTTCGGACATGTGATCTTGAGACCTTTTTTTTTTTGTGCGGGTGTGCCCTTGATGAAATGAAGTTTGCAAAGTAACAACGGCTTCAGGGGCAGAATTGTTCAAACATGCTCGTCGGGCAAATTTTTGAGTGTAAATTATCCGACTTCCTTTCAGGCATGTCCTCTTGAGACTTTTTGTGGGTGCGCTCTTGATAGACATGAGTACCAAATGGAAAACATGCTTGTCGGGCAAAATTTTGAGTGTGAATGTGAAATGATGCTAAATTAGCCGACTTCCTTTCAGACATGTCTTCCTGAGACTTTTTGTGGGTCCACTCATCTACCAAATTTCATGTTGATGAATGAAACATCGAAATATGATTAGTGGTGCCATCGAGCAAAGTTTTGAACGGCGAAACTGACGCTAAAATGTTCTTCTCAGACTTCTCACATCTTTTTCCTGCGTTGCTTGTTGAGACTTTTTTTTTTGTGAGTCTATTCCCCAAATTTCACGTTGCTTCATCAAACTGGCCTCAGGGGCTGAATTTAAAACAAATTCCAGTGAGTATGAGGAAAGCTCTCCAAATAGCTAATTAATGTGCATTTAAATGCATAATGTCCCTTATTCATTAACCAAAGCCAGCATGGCTACCGCCAACCTCAAAGGCATTCTTCCTTACCTTCGCCCTGGACTTGAGTCTATTGTTGCGCGGCAATTAAAATGGCCGCCGCGGCGGGGGAAAATGAAAGTCAGAGAAAAGTCACACGTCTTATCCGAGCGCGCCTTTTAGAAGGAAGAACAAAAGGTCTTCCTCCTTCATTTCCCATTAACCCCCATGCTCCTCGGCGTACAGGAAACATGGCCACCTCGCCGGCCCCGTGTCACATATCTCATCCGGCGCTGGGGATGA